TTAGAATTGCGAAGCCAAGCCCAATTAAAATAATTTCTATATACTCATATGGGGTACAAAATTTTACCATCAATTGAATAGCCAGAATCAATATTACAGTTAATCGGGTTATCGACATAACTCCCAGTAGAGTGACGTTGTGACGAATTACATTGGAGAAATGGCGATGACTTGATTGCTATGAAGGAAGACCGATGGTAAAGTTTGTGTGTCAGAAAATCTGATGATTGTGTGTGTCGATAGTGTTGGGTCGATGGTGATGATGGTAGTGTTATGGCATCAAAGATCTAATATTGGTCTAGCGACATCGATGGTGGTGGCTAGCCAATGATGGTCTGACGATGGCGGTGGTTCGACATCGATGGTGTTGTCTGGACAGCGGTGGTCCGATGATGGCGATGGTTTTGCCGCAATGACGGTAGTGGCTAGGAATAGGTGGTTCTGCTGCGGTAGCATTCAAATGGTGGTGATTCGGTGGCGAGGATGATGGTGGCCAGACAACGATGGTGAAGCAATTTCGGTGGTTCTACGACAACGATGGTAGTTGTCGGTTAGTGGTGTTTTTGCGACCGTGATATCCAGACGAAGGTGGTTTGGTAGTGAGGGTGATGGTGGTCAGTGGAACAGTGTCTTGATCATGGCCTGCAATGGTTGTTTGATGATGGCAGAGACTCGACGGGGGATGGCCGGTGGTTGTGATGGTTACATAGTAGCGATTCAGTAGCGACGACAGTGGTGTTGGGAAACAATAGTCTAACTATGGTGGCCACCCAAATTTGATGGTTCGACAACAAAGACAACAAAATGACGGTGGTAGCCATACAATAGTGGTCCGACAACAAAGACAACAAAATGACGATGGTTAAATGGTGATCGTGGCTAGACAGAGGTGGTCTGGCAATGGTGACAGTGGTGACCGGCTATTGGCAATCCAATGGTGGCTGACAGTAGGAATATATATTAGAAGCAAATACATTGGTATAAAACAAAATTAGAAACAAATATCTCAGTATAAACGAAATTTTAATAAGGCTTCTCTTACAAAAAGGTTTAATTTTGTGTCCCGTCTTTATCTCGCAGTCAGCATCTTGGAGAGAAGACATCTTTGTTGAACTAATAAGTGTATTAAAAAATATTTTTTTCCTAAACTATTATCTCTCTTATGAGCATCGTATCTTCTTCAATAACTTCCTTTTTGAAGAATATGAATATGACTTGCTCTTTTTTCTTTTTATTACTTTCTCTCCTTTTCTCAGAAAATGTTATTGGTAGGAGCTAGAGAATTTGTGGCCGTAGAGAAATTAACTTCGTACCATCATAAGAAAATTCATTACACAGAGATAAAAAAAGAGCTGATAGACAGGACATCAGACATTTTACATGGAAAAATTAAAAGAGTAAAAACCATTGAATCTAGCCCACTTGAAATGATCTCACTATATTTATATAGGATAAAAGGCGACGTCCAAACGGTGGTAATCCTATGGAGGAGAAGGTGGTGGCTAGGCAATGATTCTGGGTTAGCGATGACGGTGGTTTTACTACAACAACAGGATAAAAGGCGACGTCCAAACGGTGGTGATCCTATGGAGGAGAAGATAGTGGCTAGGCGATGATTTTGGGTTAGCGATGACGGTGGTTTTACTACAACAACAATAGTGGTTGGGCAGTGGTGGTTCTGCGGTGATGACATCCAGACGACGATGGTCTGGTTGCAGGGACGGTGGTTTGATGACGGTGGAGACTCGACGATGGTGTTTTGGTGGCAGTGATGGCTTGTTAGTAGTGATCCAGTAGCGATGACGGTGGTGGTTGGGTAGCAATGGTCTGATGGTGGCGGCCACCAGACATCTACCACTCGGTGGTCGTTAGGCAATAGCTAGGGATTGCTATATGCGATGGTCTAGTGGAGACAACGGTGGTGATTAATTGGTAACCAAACGATGATGGTTTTGTGGATGTAACGATGATCCGGCGTTGTAAGCAGCCTGGCGACGGTGGTCCATCGATGGTTTGACAGTGACAAACGTAGTGGTCGAGCAGTAATGATCTGGTAGCAGCGACGAAAATTTTGAGGTCCACCGCGATGAAAGTTGTGGTCCATCAGTGGCAACGTCCAGACGACAGTAGTCCCGTGGCAGCTACTGATAGTTGTTAGGAGGATGGTCCATTTATGGGAGTGGCTTGATGACGGTGGTTCGACGATGACAACAACATTGGTGGTCGACAGCTGTGGTTTGACGATGACGACAACCAAACAATGGTAGTTCGTTGGCAATGATTGCGGTGGCAGGGCAACGGTGGTCTGACGATGGTGATACCGAGATAGTGGGGGTTTGATTATGGAGACGACTCGACGGTGGTGTTCAATGATATTTATAGTGGTGATCGGACAGTGGCCATTGGCGATCCTGCCGCCCAAATAAGCCCTAAAATTTTAGTTGACTGGTCAATAGATCTCTGTACTTACAGCTTGAATTTATTTCTTATATATTTCTTATTGCATTTTAGGATTACAGAGTTTTATAATTTAAGTGAGATCCCCTGAATTGGGATCACTTTTAATTTTGATTTTTTTTTATTTTCTTATCTTATTTTATTTATATCTTACCCTAAAATAAAACATATGTAATTGTTTAGAATGCATTAAAAAATAATTTTTAAATGTTTTTTATTACTTTAAAAATAAGTTAATTTATTTTTAAAAGTAAAATTAAAAAACATACCAAAAAAATGTATTAAAAAAAGTTTTTAAAATAAACCAAAAACAAAATTTAAAAATAGAACAAAAAAATAATCCCTAACAAGCCCTAATTTCATTATTGTGAATGAAAATTAGTTTATTGACCATTATAAAAATTAAAAGATCTTTAAATTTGTCAGAAGAACAAATAGTGTGAAACCTCTCAAGTTGAATAGAGCTAAACTTTTAAGCATTAATGCTCATTTTCGTGTAAGAGTCTAATTTCTCGAGCGTGAACAACCTCCAGATTGATGACCTCCTAATATAAGTTATACTAATGCAACAAAATCGTGAATTTATTAGGCCAAAATGAACAATATCTCGATGAATGAGCAACACAATATATTTTCAAAGAGAAGACCATTCATTCCATATAAACACATACAAGAACAAGAAAAAAAAATCATTTCAGCAACGGACATTACTAATTTTATTACATCCATCACCCAAACAACCCCCATCACATTCACAAATTCTTCACAAATTTCCCCAAAACAAATAAATACAACACAATCCACTTCTCCTTCCCCCCCACTTTCCCTCACTTTCCGGGCACAAAGTTGGTGGCATAAGCCCATGCATTATTGTTCACCGGATCCGCCAGATGATCCGCCAGGTTCTCCAGCGGGCCCTTACCCGTAACGATAGCCTGCACGAAGAACCCGAAAACAGAGAACATGGCCAGCCTTCCATTTTTCAGCTCCTTCACCTTCAGCTCCGCGAAGGCCTCCGGATCTTCAGCCAGGCCCAACGGATCAAAGCTTCCCCCGGGATACAACGGATCGGTGACATCACCGAGCGGCCCACCGGCAACTCGATATCCCTCGACGGCCCCCATGAGGATGACTTGAACGGCCCATATAGCGAGGATGCTCTGCGCGTGGATCAGACTCGGGTTACCCAAATAGTCCAGCCCACCTTCACTGAAGATTTGGGCCCCGGCCTTGAACCAGACAGCTTCGCCGAATTTGACGCCGTTACGGGCCAGGAGCTCGGGGAAGACGATGCCCAAAGCTCCTAACATTGCCCATCGGGAGTGAATGACCTCCAGCTCTCTGTTCCGGGCGAAGGTCTCTGGGTCAGCGGAGAGGCCGGCGGTGTCCCACCCATAGTCGCCGGGGAATTCGCCGGTGAGATAGGAAGGGGGCTCGCCGGAGAATGGGCCGAGGTACTTGACACGGTCTGGGCCGTACCATGGGCTTCCTGAGGACTTGCTTGCAGTCTTGCGCATGGTGATGCGGGCTTCGCCGAAGAGGGCGGGGTTGGAAGGGGATAGCTTCACAGGCTTGCCGGCGAAGGAGGGGGAGGAGAGAGCCATTGCGGCTGCGGTGGCGGCCATGGTGTTAGGATTAGTAGAGCTGGGGTGATGAAGAGAATTGAGTGCAGAGAGATGGATTGAGAGTTGAGAGGGGAGGGGGGAGATGGAGAGGATTTAAAGAGAGGAGGAGAAGGGGAAGATGATCGGTGTACTTATCCGACTGTAATCTGATGCTTGAGTTTCATTGGTGGAGGAGGGGGAGGGCAGGGATTCTGTGGCTGTGGTTTTCGGGCTGATGAGGTGGAGGCTCTGCATCCACAAATTTGATCTCCCCTGATGCAGGGAATCTGAACTTATATGGATGTGGAAGTATTTGATTGGATGAAATGGTTTACTCGTCATCTCTTCCTTTGATTGGGGGTATTTTACATAAAAGTCACCAAATTTCTATCTATTTGCATAAGTAACACCTAGTTTTAAATTTTTATATTTATAACGCCCAAAATTTTCACATTACATCAAAAGTAAAATAATTTTGATACTTTAAAGGTGAAATACAG